AGCACCAAAGTGTATTAAATTTCATGTTTAAATATACAAGGGATGGAAAATTAAGGGAGAAAGGGGCAGTTGGCAAAGTACAACTCGGGACTTGCCAAAGACCAGACGACTTGAAGTGATCATATCTATTACATGCCATACCCTGTAAGTAACAGCCAGGAGGATGTTTTCTGCAAACCCAGAGCTGGGTAACAAATGTAGGTGCAGCCCAGGCTCGTGATATGTATTCAGGAACACTTGAGAGTAGAAACGGTGACAGGAGCCATGGTTTAACAAAGAAATCAGTGCACTGGAGACTGCAGCCGAGATAAATGTGGAACAGAGGCAGGTGTCTTTGAAGAGAAACCCTTTCCTTCCCCATCACCAAGCCCACCCACCTATGCCCAACACCTTCACATATACCATATGGACAGCTGAAGTCCATAAAAAAGAAAAAAAGGACATAAATTTGATAGGTAGATACATAGATAGATAGATAGATAGATAGATAGATAGATAGATAGATAGATAGATAGATAGATAGATAGAATAAAGTCTGCTGAAACAAATGATAGCCACATAAGAGATGGATGTAAATGGTCGCTTCTGGAAGGTTTTGTAGTAACCCTGACCTTTGGGGATGCACATTTGGCACAGATTTCAGAATCTTTAAGACCTTGCATTTGGGCTATACCATTTCATAGTGCCGTATCCTTATAATTAACATACTGAATACACCCATGCTTTTCTTCTAGTTCGCCTGGCATCATCATTTGGACAATGGAAATATAGATAAGAAACTATTAATTATCTGCCAGAAACTAAAAATGCTAACTTATCTTTTTGGAGAGAAAAATAAATCTGAGCGTACATGAGAGTTCTAACTATTTTGCACAGAATAAATAGCCTCCTTTCTGTGTGTTCTAGAAGGCGTGGGGGAGCTGCCACTTACCTCACACTCTGGGTCTACGTCTGATCCCTCTCTCTCCCTTATTACTTGTAAGAGATAAAAGGACGATCAGAACTGTATTTAGCTTGGGATCCTAGTTGTTTTGGAATAGCAGTCAGCATCTTTGAAAGCATCTCATTTCTGAAGACTGGGTTGTTAGACTTCTTTAGGACTTGGTGCTTTGTTTAAAGTCCAGCTGAGTGAGGTTGTGTTTAGAAAGTTGTTGTCTAGGCTCTCTGCTCCTCCCTGTTCTAGAGACAGCCGCTTCTTTTTGTGCAGTGCCAGCCTCGTTCCAGAGACACGATGGTGAAGATCGGAGTGAACGGACTTATTGGACGCCTGGTTACCAAGGCTGCCTTCACTTCCCGCAAAGTGGACATTGTTGCCATCAATGACCCCTTCATCGACCTCAACTACATGGTCTACATGTTCCAGTATGACTCCACCCATGGCAAGTTCAAAGGCACAGTTAAGGCTGAGAATGGGAAGCTTGTCATCAACCGGAAGGCCATCACCATCTTCCAGAAGCGAGATCCCGCCAACATCAAATGGGGTGATGCTGGCGCCGTGTATGTTGTGGAGTCGACCGGTGTCTTCACCACCATGGAGAAGGCTGGGGCCCACTTGAAGGGTGGGGCCAAAAGGGTCATCATCTCCGCCCCTTCTGCGGATGCCCCCATGTTTGTGATAGGTGTGAACCACGACAAGTATGACAATTCCCTCAAGATTGTCAGCAATGCTTCCTGCACCACCAACTGCTTAGCCCCCTTGGCCAAAGTCATCCATGACAACTTTGGCATCGTGGAAGGACTCACGACCACAGTCCATGCCATCACGGCCACCCAGAAGACTGTGGACGTCTCCTCTGGGAAGCTGTGGCGAGACGGCCGTGGCGCTGCCCAGAACATCATCCCTGCATCCACTGGCGCTGCCAAGGCTGTGGGCAAAGTCATCCCAGAGCTGAACGGGAAGCTCACGGGCATGGCTTTCCGTGTTCCTACCCCCAATGTGTCTGTCGTGGATCTGACATGCCTCCTGGAGAAAGCTGCCAAGTATGACGACATCAAGAAGGTGGTGGTGAAGCAGGCATCCGAGGGGCATACTGGGCTACACTGAGGACCAGGCTGTCTCCTGCAACTTTAACAGTGACTTCTACTCTTCCACCTTTGATGCTGGGGCTGGTATTGCTCTCAATGACAACTTTGTAAAGCTCATTTCCTGGTACGACAATGAGTTCGGCTACAGCAACAGAGTGGTGGACCTCATGGCCTACATGGCCTCCAAGGAGTAAGAGGCCCGTCCTGGACCACCCACCCCAGCAAGGACACAGCAAGAGATAGGCCCTCGGCTGCTGAGCAGTCCCTGTCCTAACTCAACCCTTGACACTGAGCTCTCCCTCACAGTTTCCATCCCAGACCCCCAGATAGCAGGAGGGGCTTAGGGAGCCCTACTCTCTTGAATACCATCAATAAAGTTCACTGCATCCCCTCTTTAAAAAAGAAAAGAAAAGAAAAGAAAAGAAAAGAAAAGAAAAGAAAAGAAAAGAAAAGAAAAGAAAGTTGTTGTCTACTTTAAAAAGTCCCTCTGCCTGGTAGGAACTTAGAGGAAGTCCGGGGGGTCTGGAGGACTCCTCGACCCCAGCTAAACATAGAGCACAATAGTTTAGCTTTCAGCCTTATCTCATTGGTAAATTCATTGAACTGAGCTGGGGACAGGCTTGCTGCTCTGACTCACTTCTCATGGTCAAGCTGACATTAAGTGGCACAATGGTTAGAATATCCCCAACAAATTTCATGCGGTGTAGCATGAGTTTTACTAGGTATTAATACTAAAAATCCGGAGTCAGCTATCAGAGGCCGAAAGCTCAATAATCAGAGAAGCAGAGGGGCCAGTCACTAGACAGACCTTTTTCTACCCCCATCAATGCTCAGATCAAAGAGGCGATCCTGTCCTCAGACTGTCTCTTCAGACTGCATCAGACTGCACCTCAGACTGCATTATTAGACTTCACTGAGCTTTTGTCTCCTCCTGCCTTATATTCCTCTCTCCACCCAGCCATATTCCTTCCTGTCTCCACCTCCCTACTGCTGAGATTAAAGGTGTGTGACTCCCAAATACTGGAAGTAAAAGTGTGAGCCGCCACCACCTGTCCTCTAGTGGCTTAGCTCTGCACTCTGATTTTCAAGCGAGCTTTATTTGTTAAAACACAAGCAAAATATCACTACAATGCTGCAATTTCATTCTCATTGCAAACTATTAAGAGGTGTGAACTGAAGTAATTGCATTGCAAAAGCTCAACCCCCACAAATGAACTAATCAATTCATGGGTTAATAAACTGATCAATTCATGAGTTAATGGGTTCATCAATTCATGGGTTAATGGACTATCAAAGAAGGAGCTCATTTGGGAAGCTTGTGCTGTCTCTACATGAGGTGCCTGTACCAACCCAAGACCCTGCAGGGAGAGGAGTCTTGCCCACAAGAAGACAGTCACAGAGAGACCAGGACTTCAAAACTACAAAAAGTAAAATTTTCCTTATAAATTACTCAGTCTATGGAATTCACTTAAAGCAACAACAACAACAACAAAAAAAACTGATCAAAACCAAGAGTGCACCTTCTCCCTGAGGACACTAACAGGCTACACTCTGCTCTGCCTGTGCCCTCAGAACGAAGGGAGCTTGAGAGATGGCACATTTCATTGGGTTTATCTGTGTGCATTTGTAGCTCTTGAGATGCAAATGAACAAATTGCCCAGAAAATCCTGTTTGTCTCCTAGTCTACCAAGACAACTGGGACCTTCACACTAGATATCTGGACATGCGGATGGTAAAATAAAACACACTATGTTGGGGACACAAAGAAACTTCCCAACAGTCCCCACAAGCTAATCACAGGAGCTCCGTCACACTACCCCAGGCATTCTTGCAGAAGGAGACTTTTCACCTTCCTTGTCTTTGGCCTGGAAATTTCCCAGAATTTCCTTACATCTTCTCTCCATTCATAAATGCTTTCTAAGGAGCCAGGGGGCAATTACTACTTAGCACAAACATTCGTGTGTGTACATCCCTGAACTAAAAAGAAAGATTGAAGCCAGGCGTTGGTGGCACAAGCCTTTAACCCCAGAAGGCAGCAGAAGATGGATCTCTGTGAGTTCAAGGCCAGCCTGGTCTACGGAACTGATTCCTGGACAGACTTCAAAGCTTCGCAGAGAATAAACAAAATAAAAATAAAAATAAAAAGATTTAGAGGCGCACAGAGGAAGATACACTGCAGAGAAAAGAGGGGCTGTGCATTTTAATAAAACTCTGACTTGATTGAGCTTGACGGCATTGTGAGTAATTAAAACCCACACCAAATGATGAAGAAGTACTTGCTGGGAAAGGCCTCCAGGACATCTTATAAACAAACACTACCCTCTGTTTTATTATAAATACTGCTGGTGACACTATTACACTAACTCAAAGTATATCTCCAACAAACACACTGCATTGTTTGCCGATGTGATTTTAATACTTTAGTTACAAATGTGACATGGTGTCAGTTTAGAGGCACCATTTCTGTAGCAGACGCAATTAAGAGAAGAGATAATTAAAGTACCCCATAAGTGATAACTCTCCCTAGGATGTCCCCACAGCTCCGACCTTGAAAGAAGTGGCAAAGGAATGCCAGGAACTACAGGCATAGGAAGAGAAGGCCAATAAGAAATATACTATGTGTAGACTACTGTAGCAAGGAAACCGTGGATGACACAGACCAAGGAGAAATCAGACAGCCAGAGAAAAAAGGGAAGCCATGGTCCTGCGCCATGGTCTACAATTTAACAACCTGCATTTAACAACCTTTAACAGCCAGAATTCATCCAGCATCTACCTGTAACTATCCAGTAAAGGGCAAGCACTAGGAACATGGGACAGACCGCTAAATAATGTTAACACTCAGCACCCTCTAGGTTTCCCCTGCTACTTGACCAAGGCTAACTCAGTTGCCTTCACTTGAATCCCTTCAGGTTAGTCTAGTCCAGACAGTTTCTATACATTTGTTTGACTTTCTCCCTTACTTTATTTTGCAGCAGAAAGAAGATTGTCAAAGTGGCAAACAGTGAAAGATTCCTGAAGAGTGGAAGTAGACATTTGCAGAGCACACGAAGCAGATTAGGGTGCGTGCCCAGGTGTTCCAGGCTGCCAGTCTCTGCTATGCTGGATGGAGAGGGACACAATGAGAGGAAGTCGAGGCAGATACCAGTGTATGAAAGTTGGAAAATCACTAAAGGATTCAGATGGGGGTCTTTCAGAAGACAGCTTGACTACAACCTGGTCAACAAGCCCATGATTTGTCTAGATTCACCTGGAACCTGAAGGCAATGCAGCTTGGGGCATCCTTTGCTATAAGCAAAATAATAGCAAGAACAAGGACTCCAAACTAAGAATGTACAATTAGGTAGAAAATCAAACAATTTTTTAAAATTTAAAAAAAAATTGCCTGGACAAGTGGAAAAAGTACTAATTTTAGAAGGACTGCAAATGCTCACGGTTAAACATGGGAACTAAGAAACTCTTCTTGCAGGATTCCGATAGCATACCTCACTATTCGCCTAAAAGAACATTACTTCTCCAGCAAGTTGGTATTGGAAGTGGAGTCTTCTACTGGTAATCTTGCACATCTGATTTCTGAAGAAACCCCCCTAGAGCAGGTTCCTGCTCTGTGCGGTTTAAAGGAGGCCTCCCCTTGAAGCTGTGTGAACTGAGCGACTGGCATCAGAAGCCATGGGACACCCCGACATCACAAAAGGAGCACTGGGGCTCTGCTTCCCGTCAGGGAGATCCCTAGAAGCCATTCGTTCCCACCCAGGAAGGCCAGCACTTGGAAACAATTGCCAGCCACAAAAATAGCCCCCACTTAACGCCAATTAAACCTATTCCCATCTTGACTTCTCTTTAGCTACAGCCCCAAAGGCTCGTCACTTTGTGGGCACTCCACTCCAGCAGGAGGAACATGGAGGGGAGGCTGGAACTGAAAATGAAAACAGTCTTAAGTAACCATGGCTAAATATATCTCGTTTGTAATAGATTTTACAAGCACACCCAACCATGAGGACACATTGCAAGAACTCCTCCCTTCCCCTGGAAGAAGCCTGTGCAGCTAAGAGGGTCACGGCTCAAGCTTACTTGCTGATCCGCTGTAGACAGAGCCTCACCCAGGCTCTGAGTGTAACTGGGGATACCAGTCTGTAAACAGTGGCAACAGCGAATGACTGAAAGTAACCACAGTGTCCACGGACTAAAAATGATATATTTGAAAGGCCATTAGCAAGTAAAAGCAGGATGATGCTGTGGCAACTAGGAATGAACAGGGATGGCAAAATAAAAGGAGCATGGCGCCATCTAACCTGGCTCGCATCCTCCAGCTTTAACTAACATGTTCACATGCAGTTCCAGTGTGAGGTGCAGAGACGGCCATCACAGAGATAGAGGCCTGTAAGTAAGCATCTTGATTCTGCTTGTTGATCCCCGTCCTCTGGCTCCCTACACCAAGCTCGGTCCTAGGCACTTGTTGCTTCGGTTCTTCAGAGAGTCTGAGGTCTTTCTCTTTGTTCTTGTGCATGAGACCACTTGAAAAGATGCCTTGAAACTCTTTGCCTCCCAGGACAAACCCATCTACTGGCTATTTTTAATCCAAGACATACTTTTTCTACAACCTGGCCAAAGTTCAGTCTCACAGGGAGTCAAAAAAAAAACAAAAAAACAAAAACAGAAGTGTGTTTTATGTTTGTTGGGGCAGGCTGAGTGTACTTGTTACTTTGTGTTTTAAATGTTGAAAATATACCCTTTGGGACTTGATTTCCCAGTCTAGATTCCAATCAGTGAAAATACATTGTATTTCCAATAGTGAAAACACAGCAGAATACAGACAGGAAAAAAGAAAACATGTCACCCAGTCACAGCCCTGACCCTAGTACTCTAAAGGAGAATGCCTACAGTACTGCAGGGTCCAGAGAACATGAAAGCCAGGGCTAAGGAAACCCCACAGAAAAGCTGGGATCGGTTACGGAGACTGATCTCCCACAGGTACTTAATCTTTGCCCAAGCTTCACAGCAAACATGCTCCTTTTTCAGGACGTCTTCGCTGCTTCTCAAATAATCCCAAAAGGAGACTCGCTGGACGTCCCATAATGACTAAAACTGCTGATGGGGATAGATTTGTAAACCCAAAATACCATATGTGGAGTCAGAGCATTTTATTTATACCTTGGCCTGATGCTTCGCCCACGCACACAGGATTATGGAAGAAATATATGGCTGCCTGCTGGCCTAGAACTCTCTCAGGCCTTCCCCGGCCGTCTTGGTGAGCTCAGCGACCCTGGGCCAAACAACCATCTGTAGCACAGCAGGCCCTTCCAAGCTGCAGGGAAAGTAACAGAGATTAGAACTGAACCGCTAAACATACCCCTGTATATTTTGTTTCTGTTTCTGTCTACAAGTAGAAACAAGCCTAAGCAGACTCTCTTGGCATAAGATTATAGGTTAAAAAATAAATCCACCAAGTATTACATAATAACAAGATAAGAATAATTAAGAACAATATATTTCCTTTTATAAACTTTGATGGATAACCTTTAAGATGTTTGAAGGGTTATGTTCAGGCCACACACAGGATGGGCAATATTTTTCCTTCATCTTTTTTTTTTTTACAGAAAAAGGGCTAATTTTGCTTAAAATAGAAAGAAAGCTATGGGCCTTGCATTTATCAGAGGAACAAGCATGCTTTATCATATGAAGTTATCTTTATTTCAAAGAAAATTAGAACCAAAGCCAAACCTACAGAGGCATATATACAAACATCTGTGGACAAGGAAGGGCTCAGTGGGCCTTTGGTAAAAGTTAAATCTTGCTTTCAGGCTTCATTGACTCCAGAGCTTGAGTGGAAGCAGCCTTGACGAGGGCAGTCAACTTTACAGATGTAGTTCAACCGATACACATTTCACCCCTGTTCCTATTCAGGATTCGATATGCAAAGTTAACCTCAATATATATTCACTCTTTATACCCCGTTTTCCACTCATAGCTAGTCTCTGCAAACAGAAAGGAGACCGTCTTCCTTTAAACGCCCCCATAAGCAGGGACATTCAGAACGTCTGCTACCATGTGGCACTCTCCCTAGCTGAAGCAGGTTCAGAATAAGAGAGACATGGGAGGAGACACTGGCAACCAACGGTCACGTAAAATCACAGCTATGGTTCAGCAGGGTCTGCTTTCGTCGTCAGCACATCCCCGTGACGTTGATCCTGAGCTATGTCATCAATGGAGAGTGAGCAGAGGCTGGACAGCCTAAAGAAATTCATCTGCACTACCTTGTTTAATGGAGAAGCTTGTGTGGCAGGTTCCCAAACATAGCTATGCATCCCTGATACCCATAACAGATGCAAATTTACATATATGAAGTAGCAAAAATAATTTTATGTTTGGGGGGAGTCACCACAGCACGAGGAACGGTTTTAAAGGGTCACGGCATTAGGAAGGCTGAGAATCACTGCTCTAAATCTTGGTGTCAAGCTCTTTTTGAGATGATACTAACACTCAAGTCAACAGGATTCAAGGAAAAGAGAATCTCGTGCAAAGCAGACGGCTCTCATCCCATCAGATGAAAATCAGAATAGAATGAAAGTGTGAAGGTGCCCAAGAGAGAGTTCCACCAGTCAGCTGTTTCAGACTTCAGAAACAACATCAATACTTCTCTGAGATTGCATGCAGCCACAGCAGCATAGGGATCAATTCTCGAGTAAAACCTCTGTCTCTTGATAGGGAGGTGATCAGGATAAATGGTGGACAGTAAATGGGTAGATAGACTGACAGAAGACAGATGACAGAGATGACAGATAAAAGACATATAAGGAGATAATAGACACAGATAGGTGATAGATTGAGCTGCATATGTTCTGTGTATCTTCGTGCTACATGTCCCAATGTTTCTGCTTTGTTAGAAAATACTAACACACCCACTACTACTACATCGAGGATTCAAATATGGCTTGGTCTGATTCCAGAGCTTAAACTCTTTTCCTGACACCAGAACTTGACTGTGATTGCCAGAGACTGAATGACTCCATTGTATTTAGTCCGCTCCCTCATCCATTCAGGAAACACTTAGAAAGCAGCTATTACCTTCTCGGTCCTGAACTGGACTAGAGAAATTCAAGCGAACAATCAATACTGCCATCTCACAAAGGACACATTTGAACTAGCTAAACAAAAAGGAGGATGATCGTTCGGGCAGAAGGAGCTCTGTGGGATGCTCCAGAGCACATGTGTTTGTGCATAACATGGAGAGGGGATGGAGAGAGAGAGAGAGAGAGAGAGAGAGAGAGAGAGAGAGAGAGAGAG